ACACACACACACATTCAATCAATCAATCAATCAATCAATCAAACCTTTTTTTTATTTATTTGTTTTCAAATTTTGCATCTGCATTTTTTTTAAAACACCTCATTTCCCTGCAAAAAAACAGAAATTCATTTTAAAAAAAATACAGGTCAACTTGGGGACCATATATCTCATGATAACAAATGCCAAGAAAAAAAATCATGCTTTTCTTTATTATTATTTTTTTTAATTTTCTTTAAATTGATTTTAGTTTTTGATTTTTTTAAAATATGAAACAAAATCGGATTCCAAAAATATATATATAGGAGTGTATTGTTTTCCAAGCCCTACACCCCCATGTTTTGGGGGGGGGGGGGGGGGGGGGGGGGGGGGGGGGGGGGGGAATTGAAAAACCAGCCCGCGGACCGGGCCTCATTGGCCACGGCCTCGGGCGAGAATCTCGGCCGCAGCGGCCGAAACGCCCGCGGCCTAGGCCGCGGGTGTCACATAGCCTGGGACTGGAAGGCCCTACTGTGCGAAGCATGCCCTAGGGGCCTGGCTGACCACCTCGATGAATTTACCAACAACCTGTTCAACTGGGACGAAGGGCGGTACTCTTGGCACTTTGGAGAAAACGTTGCACATACGAGATGGAAGGAGCGAGAAGGGCCCGAATTTACAGAAAGTGTACAACAATAAATCCAAATGGAAGTAACCGCAAAATGGGGGGTGACGTCAGAACACAGATCCACTCCCTAAATACACAAAAGGACATTAAACAAAGAATCCAAAAATTTTCCTCAAGCTGGCTCGGGGGACAAACGGAGGAAGGATAGGGAAGGTGGAATGGAAAGGGGCACAACAAGAAGTTGGGGAGGGCCAAGGGAGAACAGAAATAGTAAGGGATTACCGATTGATATTCCATGAATGAACCAAAATTGATACGGATACCATGGTATGCACACTAGATCTCAACCAGTCTTGAAGAGCGCTGCACCCCCGCTGGAGCAATTTTGGAGACGAAGCGGCGGACGCGGGATCTACCGGGGAGCAAGGCGACGCGGTGGGCGAAGACGCAAGGACGCAAGGCGAGAGAAGGGTACGTATGGGAGAGTTGGCGACGAGGTCGGGGGTGGGATATGGTGGCGCGTGGTAGGAGATGGGAGGTGTTGGGCACTGACGGGGAACAACCACGGGTGGTAAGGTAGGGGGGAGGAGGGTGGGGCAGATGGGCAGGGGGGTGTGGAGTCGCTGGACTAGGTTAGGGCTTGTCGTCCTCGCTTTTTGAAAATCCTTCCCTATATGGGTATAGCTTAGGTGGTTTTTAACCTCCTGTGGCGACTTGTCAACAGGTTTGGCGAGGGGGTGCCACACTATTTTCGATTTTCTTCGGGGGATTGAAGATGGCCATTCATGTCCTTGGTGCTTGCTTTGCTTTGAGCCTAGATGCTAGCCATGGGAGGATGGGAGTTCTTCCTTCCCCAAAGACGCAGGGGTTGGGTTTGAGGGGTGTGAAGTAAGTGGCTTGGTTGAGGAAGAAGGGATGGGAGGCTGCTTTGTATTGGATTAGGATTCAGCCCACACGTGACGTGGTTGTCTTATAATTCGAAATCTACTAATAATGTTCTGATACCCAAGCTATTCATTCTGAGGTTGACTTTTAATTGATGATTTCAATTCATGATTCTTGATTTTTCTTGATAATCGTAAATTAGAGTTTTGGCTCTGATCTCAAATAATGATTCCAAACTGTCTAGCTTTTCGAAGGGCTCGTGAGTAAAAGTTGATTTTCATACATCAGAGTTTTAGCTCTGGTCTCACTTCTAATATCGATGGATGAATGCGTTTTTTCTGAAGTATCAACTCAACGATTTCTATTTTTCAAAAAAATTCCAAATAATTCTCGATTTGATCTCGTTCAATTTGATGATCGTAAATCAGAGTTTTGGCTCTGATCTCAAATAATGATTCCCAACTGTTTAGCTTCTCAGAGGACTCGTGAGTAATAATTCAAGTTGTTTTTCGTACATCAGAGTTTTAGCTCTGGTCTCACTGCTAATATCGATTGATGAATGTGTTTTTTCTGAAGTTTCGACTCAACGATTTCTATCATTGCAGAAGTGCGAGGATTTTGCCCTGCCTGAGAGTGGTATTCTAGTATCTTGTTGTTGCCCTGGTCGCGTGCGATATACTTTGATTAACGCGGTGGAGTTTTTTTTTCTCTCTCCAACTTACCCCTTCATGTTGGGGTCGCATAGGTAGGGATGAGTGCCATTTGGTTACGTGGGGTTAGTAGTTGGAGTGATATGACACATCCTGCTGGCGAGGGGGCTAGTTGGCAGGACTGGAATAGGGCATAGCAGCAACGGAGATGGTGGCTCCGCTGTGACAAGTCTTGTCGGGGGGGGGATAGGGGGAGTGCTTAGGTGGTTTGGGTGTGTCGAGCGCGACTGGTGCACGAAGGGAGCCGGGCATTTCGAAACCTTGGCCGCCGCGGTGGGTTTCAGCGGATCGTCCGACGGTGGGTTATCGCCACCATGTCCAAGAGTTTAGGGTTGGCTGATGCCAGAGTGACGTTAGCCGAAGCTGGAGTTTGGTTGCGCTGCCCTGTAACCTGAGTTATGTGGCGGTTATAGGCATGGTAGAGAGATCCGGGAAACTGCTGAGGGTGGAAGGCAGTCCAGTTGCTAACCGTGAGCTGGTATTAGGACGATGTAGGCCGGAGTTGGGGTGGGTCGCGCCGCCCTGTAACCCAGCGGTTGGGCGTGTGAGGCCTCATAGAGCTTGGTATCTAGGATATGAGGGTTGAGGCAGCCATAGGCTGGTCGGTTGATTTGCACTGGGGCAACATGGTTTGGGTTATATCGGCTTCTAGATAATCCCAATTCGTTCTTTTTTTTCATGAGTAAGTTTGATTTTCTCGGTTGCTTCTGGTGGTCTTGAGAATGCTTTAGGATTTGGGGATTTCTTGCCATTCACTGTAGGCTTCTTTGATGCTGTTATCTTCACAGATTTGCGGCGGTTCGATGCCAGAACGATGCTGGCCGGTGCTGGGGCGCTGCCCTATAACTTGTTGATAGCAGGAGCATGAGGCCTGGTAGAGAGTTATGGGGATGCTTTGCGGCGGGCATTCTAAGGGACAACCAAGGCTTGCTGTCGGGACGATGCTGGCCGGAGCTGGGGTGAGTCGTGTTGCCCTGTAACCTAGCAGGGTGGGGGCGTGACGCTTGGGAGAGCTCGGCAGGGAAAAGACAGTGTTAGAGAATCCTACAGGGTTTTGTCAGGAATTCTGGGGGTTCTGAGCATTCGAAGGACTTCTCTGGCTTTCCTTATGACTTGCTGCCAGAGTTATCCATGTTTCTTCCAAAAAAAAGAGAGAATGCTTTAGGATTCTGGGGACTTCTATCAACTCGCTTTAGGCTATTTGATACTGGCACATTCATGGATCTGCGGTTGTTCGATGCCAGAAGGATGCTGGCCGGAGCTGGGGTGTTGCCGACTGCAGGAGCGTGAGGCCTGGTAGAGAGATCTGGGGATGCTTTGCGGTTGGCATTCCAAGGGACAACCAAGGGTTGCTGTTGGGACGACGCTGGCTGGATCTGGGGCGAGTCGTTTTGCTCTGTAACCTAGCCGGGTGGGAGTGTGAGGCCTGGGGGAGTTCCACAGGGAATAAGACAGTGTTGGATAGTTTTAGAGAGTTTTGTTTGGAAGTCTAGGGTTCTGAGCATTCCAAAAGAGGTTAGTAGTCATTCATATTTTTTCAACCTCTTTTTAATTCTCTTGAATTTCTTCAATAGTTCTTAATATTTCTCAGATTGATTCTCTTTTTTTTTTCTTTTTTTTTTCTTTTTTTTAAACTAATGGGCCTAGTGCCCAAGGCTGATATTATCAATAAGATGATTGAGGCCGGGGTCCTCACATTCTACCCGGAGTAACCAAACCCAGCTTGCTGAGAACCGGGCTCAGCGTCCCACCTCTGAAGCTTACGATTATGATGATAGTAAATACTRATAGAATTACTGCTGATGATGATTAGTATATCAGCCCTTCCGACCTCCTACTCTTGGATCAGGTCCTACCCCCCCTGTATCAGGACATTGTACTCAGAGACAATACCAGCCTAACCGATATCCTCCATAGCTGTTCTGTTCTCACCGCATAGCAGCCCCCCCTGTTTGCCACTGAATTGCCTTCCTCCCTCGGCAAAACCCAGATCTCTCTACAAGGCCTCATGCCCCCGCCAAKTTCAGKTTACAGGGCGAYGCCCCAGCTCCGGCCAGCRTYRTTCTGGCATCAGCAAACCAGGGGCACARAAYAGAACAGCTCAGCTGACATCTGTCATGGTTCGACCATCTCTCAATCCTATGTCCCAGATGCAAAAGAATGCTAGATGCTGACCAAAGCCAGAACACCAGAATGCCTAATAAAACCTGCAGCAAATGATTGTGATGACTGTGAAGAAAAGTATACTGATAATGATTTAAAAGACTATACTATATCACCACCACTGGCTTTCTTCACCTAGAGCACCTCCTAGCACACCCTATACCAAGACTTTACATCTCAGAGACTACACCCTCCTCACCAATGACAGCCATAGTTGACCTGTTCTCGCCACCAAGACTAATCCTAGCCCCATAGATCGTCAAAGCAGCCTCCCCAGTCAATTGAAGCCGGGTAATGGTCCCAGTATCTGAAATGACTTCTGTAACTCTATATGGGACGCTGAAAAAAAAAAAAAAAAAGATACGGCCATACCATTGAAGCCCCCTGAGGTATTTCCCGACTTCCTCCCCCCCCCATTGAATTGCCCAGTAGGAATGCAGTGGTATGGGATGGATGGATGTGACGGTTACCAGCCCTAGGAAAATTCAACATGGTACTGATACCGGCCTGGTCTTCTGCGGTGATGCAGTCAGCACAGGACTTGGGAAGTGACAGGAGGGAGGAACTAGTGAGTTACAGTAGGTATCTGGCGCCGGTTCCAAGGTGAAGAGGTTCCCCCCTCCCCTACCGCCTGCTTAGTCAATCCCCTGAGGCCAGGGTAATCAATGGTAGCAGGACTCTCCCAAAAAAAGCAAAGGGTAGCAATAGCTGAGAGGATTCCTAGAGGGATGGCAAGCTGACAGTCAATCCTCCAAGTGGTTGGAGCAATCAATGCTGTTCAGGGGTCCTTCGGCCAGAGGGAAGGAAGCGTTGGTGTGTGAATTACTGTATTTTATGACTTGCCGGGGGAAGGAACCGGACTGACGCTCCCCAGAATGGACATGGAACCAGGACCATAAAAAAAAAAAAAAAAAAAAAAAAAAGGCAGGGGTGAGGGCTGGTACATCCTTCTGACGAGAAGTAATCAATGCCGGCCCTCGGACTTCCCTACCGTAAAGGGGTTGTGCATGTGTGAGTCTTTCATGTACTTCCTATGACTTGCCGGTGGAATAGGAACCGGACTGATGCTCCCCGGAATGGAAAAGGAGCCAGAGCCATAAGGTTCTGTTTTTTTTTAAAAAAAAGCAGTAGTATAGACCGTAGCTGCTACAGTTCCAAAAGGTCAAGTCTACGACCTTCCGGAACCTCCGGAAGTGGCCTTTCACAAGTCCTGGACTCAGTCCGCGTCTGAGTCAGCAGGGGGCAGTCCTAGCATAGTCAGCAAAGGGGCCCGGCAGTCCTAGTCCTACCTAGCCTAGTCAACGGTACCCAGTCCCAGGCCGCACTTTGTCCAGTCAGCATGTACCATGTGGGACTGCGCACACCCTGGGCCCAGGGTCAAGGGGGAGACCTACGACGATCCGAAGTATAAATAAAGAGGCAGGGTCAACGCATTCATTCATTCTGCCTGTGAGCCATGCGGAAGCGCTGTCTGAGCGACTTGTGCTACGGAGGTCTGCAGGTGCCCGGAGATGAAGAGGGCTAAGAGGAGGAAGATGCGGCCATAGCTGCCTGTTAGTAGTTGTAGGAGGTAGACGGCAGCCATAGCTGCCAGGTAGGAGGTTAGTGTGAGTTGTGTGCAGGGTGTGTGTGTGTGTGCGGGACATCCAGGGGGATCCAGAGTGCGTGTGTGCGAATAAGTTGCTGGGGGATACAGTTGATCGGGTGGGACTCGTTGTCTGGCACATCTGCGCCATAGCCATTCAGACAAGTTTGAATCTGAACTGTGTTCCTGGCTCGTTTATCTCTGAGTTTTGTGTGGGCGCTGATGGACCAGGTTTGATCGTCATCTGTTTGTACGCACGCTGAGTGTGTCGAAGAGAAGTCTGAATGCAAACCTAGAGTTCTACCAGCCTATATTCAGGCCCTGGACCATCATTACCTACTGGCCGTCTGCCAGACGCTTCCGGGCCTAACTGACTTACTGGAAAATCCCTACCGGGCCTCTAGCAAAGTCTCCCTATGTTCCTGGGCGATACACTACCCCCAATATGTCCTACCACTATCTTTCAGTCCTGCCCCTGGCCATATCCCTATTACTACCTGGTCCCTGCCTGAGGCACAGCCACACACACACAGCCAACAGAGTTAGCACACGGACTCAGACATGAAATCAGGCAGGCACATGACACACACACGTTAGCGGTAGGTTACATGCATACGTACAAAGCAGAACAAATCAGAGCAGAACAGACTCAGACTCGGAATACGCAGAAAACAGATCAAAAGACAGTATAGTCTCAGATATTGCAGAAATCTCAGACCACTTGTGGGGGTCATTGCCATAATGCCATTGCATACATTGTATAATAAACTGTTTTGTTATGCTACATCAAAGGTGGAAACTGTCCCTTGCACTATGTTTTTCCTAACTGGTATATGAACGTGCCAAGCTGTTATGTTACATACATATATGATGTATGTATTACCTACTTAGTTCTGTTATGGACACTCAATTGCTCACCTGGTGAATGGAGTGTATATCTTTCTCTTATGTGCTGGTGGTGGCCTGGTTCTGTTTCCTTTTGTGCAGGTAGTCACTTGCTTATTCTGAATATTGAGAGTGCAAAGATGCATCCGAGGKGGTTTTGGTTAAAAAAAAAAAAAAAAAAAAAAAAAAAAAAGAGAGTGCAAAGATGGCTAGCAGCCCCGTGTTAGTTTCCTCCTGTCGATCGTCGTTTGTACCAAATTTCACCAGGCTTTTTGAGAATACCTTGGCACCTGGAGGAGGTGCTGCCTCAACTGGTGAACTGTTCTGTGATGAAATTGACTCCATCGCAGCGAAGCTGGCTGAGGTTAATAGCCCGATCAAAGACCTTACCGAAGCAGTAGGTACGTCTTTTGCTCTCGTCGCAGCGCTGCACATGATCTTTCTGATGCAGGGCGGTTTCGCCATGCTGTGTGCAGGCTCCACTCGTGCCAAAAATACCATGAACGTCTTGTTAACGTATATTGCTGTTACTGCATCTAGCGCCATGTTTTTCTTCATCTTTGGCTTTGCCCTCTCCTCTGACGCTCCTGATGACAACGGTTTCATGGGAGGTTCCCACTTTTTCCTGGACAATTATCGCCGCAAGGAGATGTGGATGTTCCGATGGGCCTTTGCGGCAGCAGCAGCGGCGATTCCCAGTGGGTCACTTGCAGAAAGGACCCAGTTGATGACGTACATCATTTACGCCACTTTGCTATCAGCTTTTGTGTACCCGGTTGTAGCTCATTGGGTTTGGTCATCTAGTGGATGGCTGTCAGCAACCCGAGTGGTTGGTGGACGCTTGTTTGGATCAGGAATGATTGATTTTGGGGGAAGTGGGGCTGTGCACGTCACCGGAGGCATAGCGGGATTCTGGGGAACTTTCATTGAGGGCCCTCGTTTGGGACGATTTGGAGCGCACTTAACCAAAATCAACAAAATGCAAATGAGTCTTTCTGAGTGCATGTTTGGTGCTGCAGAGAGGGTCCGTTTTGATGCCAAGGGCTCAGTGACACTAGGCATTCCATCTGAGTTAAAAGGCCATAACGTTGTACTTGTTGTCCTAGGAACCTTCTTTGTCTGGTTTGGCTGGTATGGATTCAACCCTGGTTCAGCAACGGACACTACCCGAACTGCCGACGTGGTTGGCCACGTATCAACCACCACCACGTTGTCTGGTGCAGCAGCAGGCATCACCACTCTCTTTGTCAAGAAGATGCAGAAAGGCCATTGGAGTGTGCAAGATGTTTGTAATGGCCTTCTGGCTGGGCTTGTCACAATAACATCGGGATGTGCTGTGGTGGAGCATTGGGCGGCAATCCTAACGGGATTTGTCGCTGCCTGGGTGCTCATCGGCGGGAACATGGCAATGGAGCGGTGGGAGATCGATGACCCGCTGGAGGCCACACAACTTCACACTGGGTGCGGTGCCTGGGGAGTGCTCGTCACTGGACTCCTTGCAAAACCAGGGTTTGTCAAGGAGGTGTACGGAATTCACGGTCGCTATGGCCTGTTGTATGGTGGAGGCGGGAAACTGCTCGCTGCCCACCTTGTGGGCCTCTTCTGCATCATTGTCTGGGTGTCAGTCATGATGGGCAGCCTTTTCTTGCTGCTTCACCGGTTTGATCTGCTGAGGATCTCCAAGGAACAAGAGACAGAAGGGTTGAACATGACTATAGAGAATGGGCTTGGATACTCGGAAGGAAGCTCAAGAGGTCGTGCTAGTCACATGAAATCAGCAAAAACTGGCAAGGCAACAGACACAGGGAGTATCAGTAAGTTGGAGCCTGAGCAGCTGCCGAGTGGGAGTGCCGGCAGCAATAGTGTGTAGAGTCTGAAGGGAGGGGTTGTACGGTGTCACGGATTGGCTTATGCGGAATTTATAATTTCTTGATGTTTTTATTTTCCCTTTTTTTTTTTTTTTTTTTAACAAACAACATCAGCTGTTGCAGGTATAAGTGATGATAAGAGCATGCACTTCTATCTACTTCACTGGTGCCTCCGTTCCATTAGTGGGGAGCTTCACCTGCTGGAAAACGGTTGCAGTGTCCCCAAATACAATTCAGAAATGTCAATAGGAATGAAGATGGAGATAAAGGGGGAGAGTGATCGCCTCTTCGGCCCTTCATGAGCCGCCTGATCTAACACAGCATCGAGCTACTCTATCCCTGCTCCCTATTCCCTCTGCTGTTGTAACAAAATCAACCCTCCCCCACACAAAACCATTGCACATCCCCCAAGGCTAACTCTGATGGGGGAAAAGGATCAGGAAAATAATTTGGAGATCTAAGAGAGTCTCCTAGCTCCCCCTCTGATCTCCCCAGCCAGTCCATTCTTTTTTTTTTTTTTTTTTTTTTTTTGGAAAACTGAACCTTACGGTTCTGGATCCTTTTCCATTCTGGGGAGCATCAGTCCGGTTCCTATTCCACCGGCAAGTCAGAAATGATTACAATGGGTACTCACACACGCTCCTCCCCCTTACGGTAGGAAGGCCCGAAAGACGGCATTGATTACTTCCCAAGGAAGGATGTATCACCCTTCACCCCTGCCTAAGTTAGCCTGCTTGACGTACTCTTGGACTTGGGGACTCTCTATATGGGCTGACTCTAGCTTTTCCTCTCAGCTGTGTGGCTGTCGGATCTGTGTGTATTGCTGGTAGAGCTAGTTCAGCCTTCACCTGCACCCTTGTCTAAGACCCTAATCTTACCTTTCTATGCTCTTTAGCCTTAGACTGTGTTTTGGGCTTCTATTTTTGACAAGATGCTTATCCTTCCAACGATAAACCCTAAACCCTCATCCCTTAACTACTTATGGAGGGGGGTATAGTGTCGGGGAAGGATGTTAGGAGAAACGAGGAGCGTAATAGGTGCGGGACAGCCAAGTGGGGGTGGTATGAATTTTGGGTGGGGTGGGAAATGGAGAGGTGGGGGGTGCTGGAGGGTCTGTAAGGCTGTCTGGACCTTTTTGTTTTTATTTTTCCAGGGAAGTGCGGTTGAGTGAGGGATGGTGTGGGGACTGTGGGTGGGGAGAAACTGGGTTATCCGGTGTGATGTGTAGTGAGGGAGTTGGGATGCATGTGTAGGTTTGACTGTGACAGGGGATGGATTGTTGGAGGGGGGTGAGGTGGAGACGTGATCTGCGCTGGTGGTAGTGTTAGCCAGTTTTTTAGGGCTAAATGGTCGTTTTTTATTTCTCCTAAAGGCCTGATCCTAGTTTTGCAGTTGAGAATTTGTGAATTAATGCGTTTTTTTTCTGCGTACGGATCCGGGCCGCCTGGCCGACCGGCGCCTGCCCGGGGGAGGTCCCGGGTGGCCTGGCCGGGCGGGCGGCCCAGTTGGGGGCCGGGGCCCCCCAGCACACCTTGTTGGCGGGGGGTTTCCGACCCCGAATCGGCGAGATTTGGCCTCCCCAGGGCCTACCGGGTCCGACCACGCCGAGAAAACGGCGCATCGGGCCCGTGAGGCCTGCTTTTTTTTTTTTTGAATTTGGGACGGTCCTCTGGCCGTCGATCATCCATGATCGACGGCTAGAGGGCCGTTCGTTTTTGGAGGGAAAACGGAGGCCCCGTTTGAACAAGCCACTGGCTGGGGCAGGCTGCATTGGCTGTCCAAACGGGGCCTCGATACCTGCTCCAGCCACCTGCGTTCATCGTCGAGTCGCCCGTCGTCGAAGTAGCTGCCCCTCGTCGCCATCGCCTGGGAGCTTCACTCGCCCGTCGTCGTCGAGTCGCCGGTCGCCCGTCGCCCGTCGCCAGCGTCGTCGATCATGGTGCTCCTGCCTGCCGACAACCCCTGCCGCCCGTCGACATGGAGTGCCGGTCTGTTCTTCTTCTTCTTCTTCTTCTTCTTCTTCTTCTTCTTCTTCTTCTTCTTCTTCTTCTTCTTCTTCCCTCCTCCTCATCCTCCGCTCATTTTTCTGCTTCTTCTTCTCTCCTCCTCCTGCCCCTCTCATCTTCTTCTTCTTCTTCTTCTTCTTCTTCTTCTTCTTCTTCTTCTTCTTCCTCTTATACCTCTTCCGCTTTTCTTCTTCCACGGCTTCTTCACTCCTCCTCCTCCTCCCCTTTTCATCTTATTCTTCTTCTTCTTCATCTCTCGTCGTCGTCCTCCCCCTCATGTTCTTCTTCTTATTCTTCTCTCCTCCCCCCCGTCTTCCGACTATCTTCTTTTTCTTCTTTTTTTTTACATTCATTAGCGATAGGTCGCGAGATAAATGACAGGTAAGGGAAAAAAAAAAAACCTGCTCCGCTCGCCATCTTCTTCTTCTTCTTCTTCTTCTTCTTCTTTTTCTTCTTCTTCTTCTTCTTCTTCTTCTTCTTCTTCTTCTTCTTCTTCTTCTTCTTCTTCTTCGCCGATCATTCTTCCGCCTCGTGTCTCCTCCTCCTCCTCCCCCTCTCATCATCATCATCATCATCATCATCATCATCATCTTCTTCTTCTTCTTCTTCTTCTTCT